GAATGTCCAGAGGACCAGACTTAACTTTTTTAGATTTTTCTACCCGAATTGAGTATGCATCAGGATATAAATACTGTTTATTATTATTAAACTTGTTATTTAGCACATTTAGTATGTCATAGTGCAGCGCGACGTGTGCGCCTGCACAGGCTCGTTCAATAAACAGCGATATTAGAACTGGATCCAACTCTTCCAACACAGATGTCGGTCACAGCACCTTGATTCTGACGTAGATTAACTACGAGATTAAAAAATATATACCATCATTCGTAGTTCAGAAAGCACTGTGTCCACCGCCATGTTGATAGAAATATGACGTCTGTCCACGCGATACGTGCATGTGCGCATGTGGTTTAATACAAAGCCTCAGCGGGAGATGTTTACATTATCAGTGGGCGGTCAACGAAAACCCCCACGCTGGAAGGTGGATTCAGAAACCTCCAGATTCAAAGAGGGGGGGCACTGGTGTCGTGTAAATGATCAGCAGAACCGCAGAGAGAAAGTTGCGGATTCACTCAAAATACGAGCCGTGCAAACGGCCCCTTTGTTCGGATCCGTCAACTCCGCCCCAAAAGTCCAAAGTCGTCGCGCATTTTTAGTTTTATTATTTATTAAAAATACAATGAAATGAATGGTAAATGGACTGTACTTATATAGCGCCTTTCTATCTTATCGAGATACTCAAAGCGCTTTACACTACAATCTGTGTCCTCATTTACCCATTCATACAGCACTCTACTAGATCTCTACAAAGCTGAACAAATCATTCTAAAGAGGCTAATCAGAGTTTTATCACATTCATATACTGATGGGACACACATCAGAGGCTATGAGGGGAAGTGTCTTGCCCAGGGACACTTCGGCATGTGACTGCTGTTGGATTCGAACCCCCAACTCTCGCATTGGAGGACAACTGCTCTAACCACTCAGCCACAGCCGCCCTACGATGAGATGTTGCCTTTAGCCTGGCGGACGCAATCTGTGGAGTGGATGTTCCAGCTGCAGCACGCGCAGCGAACCAGCTGCTCACATGCTCCAGATGGTCACAGTTACGCATGGAGGTTGAGCGCAGAGTCCTTCTCTCCTCTTCCCCTCGTGGAACGTGGACAGTGCACGTTATGCACAGTGTCTCCAGACAGCTCTACACAGCACACGCACATCATCAGCAGGTGTCTGCACACCTGCTACATTTCAGACATAATAAATAAAAAAAATTTACTGTAAAAAATAAATAAAAAATACAAAGATAGAAATGTTTGATGCGTTATTAACATTATATGTCACATTTCAAGACAGCGCTAATTTGTCCAAATAACAACAGCGATCAAAATGTCAAAAAGACAGTCCAGTTTACTTTCATAAAAGATGGATGGATGGACTGTCCAACAACCAAGAATTGAAGCTTTCAGGTGCTTCAAACGGTGCCACGAGACTGGAGCAGGAGGAACAAATTCAGCAGAGAAGAGTTCCGCTGAGAACCGTGAAGTGAGGGGGGTTTAGGACACCTGACAGAATCAGAGCCGCTCATTCACACACAACCTGCTGTTGCTCTCCAAAATATTAATTTTATTAAGTGTCTACAAATGTAGATAAATGTTGATGCATAACAACCCGTTAAAATACACCAAAATACAGGAAATGGCATCTCTGTTATTCAAAATTTTCTGTGAGAGGCTGGACGAAGTTGGCAGGCTTTGGCAAGCCGACTGTGTCAATAATAGCCACTTTTACCTATTACGTGAGACAACGGCATGCCATACATGGTCATATCTCAGTCAAAAATTTGTTTATAAATATGGGAAAAATCTATAAATACATTGCTTCAGCCTTTAAGTCACAGGGCATGAAAATTATGCAAAAAAACTTGACTTATAGGCCGAAAAATATGGTAACATTCAGTCCAATACCTCTTTATTTAAAAAGTGACTAATCTAAGATGTTATTCATGAATGCAACCCTACAGTAGTGACCGTGAGGCACATTAAATAACTTCTATACATGTTAAAGGGTTGTATAATCAGAACTCTCTCTTTGAGCGAGGTCACATTATCTCAGAGCCTAAAATAGCTCCAGGTGCATCAACGCTGGCTGCACAGGGGGCTTTGTGTCTCACTGGCATTTTTCTGCATGACTACATTTCCAGGTGGACCTTGTTGCAGTCTGTCGTTGTGTTTTTGTCAGCAAAACAAATACCTTCTGATTGAGCAGCCTAAGTCTGCAGGATCCCACTCCAATTGTCTGTTTTATCCCATCGCTTCGGGTTCTCCACATATTTGAAATTGCTAAAATTGTTGACCCTTGGAGTGTGGAATTCCGTTGCAGTGTGAATCGCCTCATCTTCATGTGCTGAAAACATGCTCCGCGCTCCGAGGGATAAAATGAGGCAGCAGAGAATGTTGTTTTAAAAAGCTGCATGTTGGGCTGACATGCAAATATTTTGCTTGTATACCACTGTCCCGTGGGCAGAATGTCAGCCCTAACCCTGCTGCAGAGCAGAAGGTGCATCTGCAGCGCTTTTCCTCAAATGTACTCATTGAAAAAAAGGCTGCAGATAATTAGAAAATAATTTTCTTTCCTAAAACATCAGAATCACAATGATTTAGACACTGGTGTAAACTTGAAGACCATGTTATTATTTGTTTGATGTATTTAGGTGCAAAGCTGGATGATTTTGCTGACTTCACCACCTTTGGGATCGCCACATCCCTGCTGCTGAGGACGTCCCTCATGCTGGACAACGTCCTGTGTGTGTGTTATGCGCTGTCCGTCTTCGTCCGCCTTTGTTTCTTCTCAAGCGGTGAGTTTGTTAAGTCTCTTTGCACTTAGAGGATGTATATTTTTATCAGGCTGTATTGAATTTGTGAACAGATCGTATCTCAGCTGCCAACTGTGACTAAAGGGCATCAGTTTGCTACAATATTATATACTAACATTTAAACTTCAAGTAAAACATCTGACTTAACCCATCTGAAAGCATAACCTGAAAAAGAAGTCCTCCCAGTTGTCTTCCAAGACTACCCAGCATGCAATGCAGCTCATTCAATATATTGCGTTCAAGTATAACATGTAATTTCAATAATTCTGATGGAAGTTCAATAGTAACCCACAAAATGTAATTTTTGTTTTAAATTTCATCATGTAATAAAATTTAAATACAATAGTAATATTGAAAATAATGCAAATCTAAATGGGATATTTAAAACGGACTACAATTTCCTTGTGTTTTCATGAATTTTCAGGTTGCAACTGAATGCGCATCACGATTCTTCGTAGTCAAAAGTCATGTTTTGGTTCCACCCACTCTACATCTACTCTACAATATGAGCCATTCATTTTCCTGTCAGTTATTAAATAAACTCATCTTACAGACACGTTAACTTGATCCTTCTCTAATGACAATGAAGTTCTGTTCAATTAGAAAGCTCCATCAAACATGTTTCTGCACAGAGACACAAATTTAAGACTCTTGACTAAAATATATTTCCACAGAAAATCACTATGTGTAAGTTTTTTCAGTTTTACCAAAGGACGTGATTTTTAAATATTTTTATTTCATTTGGTAGGTATTCCGTTCATGTATCGTGGTCTCCCCTGCATCTACTCATCAGCCACCCTGGCCAGCACTTCGTTGCTGTCAGGTGGGAACCTGGCCATGCTTCGGGTCATCGCGGTGGCCATGATCCTCTTCATGATCAGTCAGAACTTTTATCCTCATGACAAAGTGCTGGAGTCAGAGACCTGGAAGAAAGTGGTGTACGCTGGAGGTAAAACTTTCATTCTCACGCAAAATGACCAAGATCATTTAGATGCTTTTAACTAAACCCAAGCTAAACTATTTTATTTCTTAATTGACTAATTTTTTTCAGGAGTTGCCATGGTGTTCTGCTCTTCCTTCCCCCCTGCCTGTGTGTACTACCTGCTGTGGTCGGTCTCCTACATTTTGTTCCCAATGTCACTTTGGAGCAGTAAAATCTAAACGGGACTGAAAGCTGACATTGTCCAAGCAGGTTTACCTCAAGCCATTTTCGGGTGAACCAAAACTTCCAGACTCCTCTCTACCAGGGTGCATCCAAGTAAAAAAAAAAAAGTCCCAACGTTTATGGTGAACATCTGCTCTATTTAACCTTTTAGTTTCATTGTGACTGAGGAGAGTTTAGAGTGAGGGGTGAGGACACATTTTTATAACTTTATGAGTGAAAGTTAACATTTGTGCTGTCATCTGTGTTTGTTAAATTAACACTGATAGCAAGAGTTGTGAGATAAGAAATGAAAATGGACTATTCCAGGGCTTTTCAACTGGCAATCCGAGGGCCAAATCAGGCCCACGGGTGAGCTCGGTTCAGCCCACCAATGAGTTCACATTGAAATAAAATTTGATTATAAACCATAAAACAACTTTACTTAATGACAATAACTGCTGGAAATCTGACCCCTGAGCTCTTGGCTTTCAGTAACTGTGGCCCTCTGATCAATTTAGTTGAATAGCCCTGGACTGCTCTGTATAACCTCCACTCTTCAGATTCACTTCCTGTATGACCGCCGTTCATCAGGTTTACATCCTGTAAAACCTCTTTTGTTAGGGTTACCTTGTATAAAACCTCCTTTTTTCAGTATTATTTCAATCCTACCTGAGTGCTGAACATGGCAGCAAGAGCCATCAACTTCTCGTTGAATTAAAAGAAGTGTTCCAACGAAAAGCATTTGTTGTATATCAAGTCTTGATTTATTATTTAAATGTTACGTTTCTTAAATGTAATTTAAATCAATGAATCCCCAACCATGTATCTCAGCTGAGAAAGAGAATATCTTCACAGGTTTATGTGTAACATTTTAGTGAGCACTTCTTAGGTTTAGATGGTTTCTTTCAAACTATTTTGAAGGGGTGATGATTCCAGTTAGTTAACAGGAGGCTTGTGTCAGTCTTCTTCTTTGATTTGCTTTTTAAGTGCATCTTGTAAATATACAGTATATATTTTTGATGTTACAACTGTAGACTTTATAAAATTAAAAACTTTTTAGTTTGAGACTTTATGCATTTTTCCTCAAAGTTCTGACTCAGATTTTGATCAGGTTCTTGGGCTGGTTTGCCTCTGTTTTAAGAGGTTACCATTCTATTAGTGGGTAAACTCACCTGGATGACAGCTGGATGTGCAGTGATGTTCAGTCAGTTGGGTCATTCCTACTATTCGGTGCAATTTGACCATGGTAACTTTTTTTAAGTTTTTTTTTTTTCTTGATTTTATTATTTAATCTGATGAAGGGCTTGTTAGATTATAAAAAAATGATTTTTGTCAAGCTCAGGATATCATGCTGTTCTGTTTTTATCAATTTTTTTGCACAAGAAAAGGATAGAATGTCCACCCTGTTACAGGACATGCTCATCTGGAATTAGTGTTTTGAAAGGATAATTATTACAATTTATCCAACATTTTTCAGTCAGGTCATCTGGACAGTTTCTTTTTTTTGTGCTGAAACGTTTCACCTTGGGTCCGGAAGGCTTCATCAGTCAAGGAAACGTGCAACAAAACTGATTCTTCCCCTAACTGCTTACTCCAAAGTGGAACAAACTAGTTCTGCTTGTGATTTTGGGGGAGTGGTGGCGCAGAGGTTAGAGAGGTGGGCCTGTGATCCAAAGATCGCCGGTTCACGCCCCGGCCCCGAAAATTGTGGGTGGGGTAGGTGAAACACCCACACTTGCCCCCACCCTCATTCGCCCCACTCTGGGCCCATGAGCAAGGCCCTTAACCCCCACCTTGTGCTCCCTAAACAGGTCTCTCTTGAAAATGAGTTCTCATGACTCAATGAGACTACCTGTATAAATAAAGGCTAAATGAAAAAAAATAAATAAATAATAATAATAAGATGGTCTCTTTGGTATGCCCCCTCCTCTATTGCCGGCCCTTTTCCTTGTTGACAGTCTTGTCAAACTGGTTGAAAACAACAAAGTTTGGACTTTGATACTAGACTTCCTCACCAACAGACCACAGGCAGTGAAAATTGGCAGTCACCTCTCCCCCACACTAGTCCTCAACACCGGTACACCTCAAGGCTGTGTCCTCAGTCCACTCTTGTACTCTTTATTTACAGTGCCATGCGAAAGTATTCGGCCCCCTTGAACTTTTCAACCTTTTGCCACATTTCAGGCTTCAAACATAAAGATATAAAATTTTATTTTTTTGTGAAGAATCAACAACAAGTGGGACAAAATCGTGACGTGGAATGAAATTTATTGGATGTGTCAAACTTTTTTAACAAATAAAAAACTGAAAAGTGGGGCGTGCAATATTATTCGGCCCCCTTGCGTTAATACTTTGTAGCGCCGCCTATTGCTGCAATTACAGCTACAAGTCACTTGGGGTATGTCTCTATCAGTTTTGCACATGGAGAGACTGAAATTCTTGCCCATTCTTCCTTGCAAAACAGCTCGAGCTCAGTGAGGTTGGATGGAGAGTGTTTGTGAACAGCAGTCTTCAGCTCTTTCCACAGATTCTCAATTGGATTCAGGTCTGGACTTTGACTATCTTTATGTTTAAAGCCTGAAATGTGCAAAAGGTTGACAAGGTCAAGGGGGCCGAATACTTTCAAGGCAATGCACTCTACACGAGTATACCCCCAAGCATAGCTCTAACATCATCCTCAAGTATGCTGATGACACCACCAACTTGGGCCTCATCACCAACAACAATGAGTGCCTACAGAGATGAGGTGAAATCACTGACCAGCTGATGTCAGGAAAATTCCTTAGAGAACTTTACTAATAAACTTTTTTATCTACGTGAATATTTCTGTAAAGTGCCTTGAAACAACTTTGGCAGTTGTGGCTGAGTGGTTAGAGCAGTCGTCCTCCAATGCGAGAGTTGGGGTTTCGAATCCACCAGCAGTCACATGTCGAAGTGTCCCTGGGCAAGACACTTCCCCTCATTGCCTCTGATGTGTGTCCCATCAGTGTATGAATGTGATAAAGCACTGATTAGTCTCTTTAGAATGATCTGTTCAATTAGCTTTGTAGAGATCTAGTAGAGTGTTGTATGAATGGGTAAATGAGGACACAGATTGTAGTGTAAAGAGCTTTGAGTATCTTGAAATAAGATAGAAAGGCGCTATATAAGTACAGTCCATTTTTTCATTCATTCAACCTTTATTTAGACAGGTAATCCCATTGAGCCTTGAGGACTCATTTACAAGAGAGACCTGATTTCAACAAAGAAAGATGACAACAATGGACAACAGCAACAACAATAAACAATTATAAAAAGTCATACTACAGTTTTTTTTTTTTTTTTTTACAAATAGGATGGCTAAAAGAAAAAGGTAACAAAAAAACAGCTAGATTCTAAGGCGAATGTAGAAAACTAAAAACAGGAACATGTCTGTGTTGGTCCCTGCCAGGAGTCCAACAGATTCTTAAAGCCACTTAGAGAGGTTAAGGTCGAGAGCTTCAATTGTTTTTGTAAGGTATTCCAGGAAACAGGAGCGTAGTAGGCCCTTTTACCTAGTTCAGTCCTCATTGAGGGAACACTGCAGGTAATAATGTCCTGAGAGCGCACTCCGTAGCTGCACTCACGCAGAGACATGTAGGAGGAGATGTATGAAGGCAGCAGACCAAGAAGTGATTTAAAGATGAAAATGTACCAGTGGGAGAGTCTGTGTGAAGTTAATGATGTCCAGTTAACCAGTGAATACAGGGTGCAGTGGTGGGTACGATAATCACAGCCAGTTATGAATCTTAGTGCATCATGATAGACAGCATCCAACATCTGCAGGGTTCTTGTAGGAGCATTCATGTAAATAATGTCACCGTAATCAATGGAGGGAAGGAAAGTCACAGATACAAGGCGTTTCCTAGCATTCAGGGTTAGACAGGATCTGTTTCAGAAAAAGAAACCCAGTTTAACTTTCAATTTCTTTACCAAGTTTTCCACATGGAGCTTAAAAGAGATGCGAGTCGACCAAGATACCTAAATATTTATAGGAATCAACAAACTCAGTTGGGACACCATTTGAGGATAAAATCAGAGGAAGAACTGCTGGGACCAACTTCCTATTTGAAAAAAGCATCCCTTTGGTTTTGTTGGCATTTAGGACAAGTTTGAGGCGGAACAAATCTGTATGTTGTTGAATGCAGATTTCAAACGCTGGAAAGCCTTAGCAACAGTTTTAGCTCGACAATAAACAACTGTGTCATCAGCATAGAAATGTATGGATGCATCAGGGATGTTTTTACCTACGTTATGTATGTAGATTGTAAAGAGGGTGGGTCCTAAGAATGAGCCTTGTGGTACACCATTGTTGACTGTTAAATAACTGGAGGAAGTAACATTATGTTGAACACATTGTCTCCAGTCTGAAAGATAGTTAGAGAACCAACCAATGGTGTGTTCTGAGAAACCAATTTCTGAGAGCTTATGACACAAGACGTTATGATCCACAGTATCAAAAGCTTTAGACAGGTCTAAGAAAAGTGCAGCACAATAATCCTTAGCATCCAGTGCTTCAACGTCATTAAGAACCTTCATTGAAGCAGTGGTTGTGCTGTGTTGTTTCCTGAAACCAGATTGATTTGGAGGTAAGATGTTAAAGGAGTCCAGGTAATTTTTGATTTGAGAGTTTATCAGTTTTTCTAGAACCTTGGCTAAAATACAGAGTTTAGAGATTGGCCGATAGTTGTTCAGTGAGGTGGGGTCACCTTTCTTCAGCAAAGGAAGAACAAAGGCTGTTTTCCAAGCATCTGGAATGGAGTTTTGTCTTATGGAGATATTGAAGATGTGGGTCACAGGGACTGTGATGATATGAGCAGCCAGCCTTAAGAAATAAGGTGGAAGTTCATCTGGACCTGCAGATTTTTTAGGATCAAGATCTTTTAACAGTTTATTAACCTCACTGACTGAGAACGGAGAAAAAGAGAAAGTGTGATTGAGGATTGACTTGTAGGAGGGACTTGATTTGTAGAAGTTTGGTTATTAAGTGAAGTGGCAG